TGGCCAGCCCAGCCCTAAACCACGACAGCAATACAGGAAAGAGCATATCATTTCAAGACCTCTATATTGAGCCTAATATTGTGAATAGATTGGAGAAGAAAATCCAAACTAGATACTAGGAGAGCAGAAAAATTCCATATTGCTTGTTGCATTTAGATTTACTGTGAAATGAATAATCCTCATTAATGTTTATAAATTTGTAAAGGGCGAGTGTCAGGAGGAAGGAGCCAGGCTCTTCTCTCTGATGTCAAATGGCTAAGACAAGGGGCAATGGGAGCAAACTGGAGCATAGGAGGTTCCATGTGAACATGAGGAAAAACTATTTCACTGTGAGGGTGACAGAGCCCTGGCCCAGGCTGCCCAGAGAGGTTGTGGAGTCTCCTTCTCTGGAGACATTCAAAACCCACCTGGACGTGTTCCTGTGTGACCTGGTCTGGGTGATCCCGCTCTGGCAGGGGGGTTAGACTGGATGAGCTTTCGAAGTCCCTTCCAACTCCTAACATTCTTGCAAGATAATATTTAAACCCAATGCGATAAGTGATTTTACTGATTTAGACTTTAGCTTCCAGATTGGAAGGGATCTTAGGAGGTCTTAGTCCAACCTCCTGCTGCAAGCAAGGTCAGTGATGAGATCAGACCAAGTTGCTCAGGGCTTTATCCAGTCTGGTCTTGACAGTCTACATCCAAGGATGTAGACTGCACCATCTCTTTGGGCAACCTGCTCCAATGGTTGACTGTCTTCACAGTGAAAAACGCTTTCTTTACATACACTCAATACCTCTCTTATTTGAATTTATGTCCATTGTTTCCCATGTTCCCACCATGCACCACTGCAAAGATCCTGGCTCCATCATCAACAGCCTCCTCAGAGGTGCTGGAAGGTGCTGCTCTCTCCCCTCACTTTCCCTCTCCATGCTGAGTAAGTGTCTCCTCACAGAGTGAGTGCTCCAGACCTCATCTATCTTGGTGGCCCCACAATGAACTCACTCCAGCGTATTGATGTCTTTCTTGTACTAGAAGCCCAAAACTGGGCACAAAATTCTATATGCATTTTGAAATATTTTCTTTTAAAAAATAATTTAAATATGTCTGCATTTGTTTAGTATTGATTGCAATACTAAAGACCAGCAGAAGAAGCAGATGAACACAAAACTTATCACAGATCCTTATTTACTGGTGAAATAGGGACATATTTATTAAACTATCAAATCCCTGGCTAGCTGTAAAGACTCCTTACACGATAGTTTGCATGTTCTTTTGTTCTATTTCCAAGACATCATGCTATCACACTGGATTCTGGTTGTTCACATTACCTTGTATGCTGCCTGTTGGAATTTCCTCAACATTCTGTTTCTGTTGTCCCAAGGGTCATTATGGAGCAAGTCGAATGTGGGATGGACACTTGGATGCTGTATTGTATTTTTAAAAAAGAAAAAAAAATGAGAGAAAATAAAATGGGCACCCTTTTTACAGCTAGACAAGGGAGGAATTTCCTCTAGCCCAAGCCATTCCTTGGCCTGAATCCATGTTATTTCTAAACACTGAAATTAAGTCAAATGAAAACATTCGCAGTATTGGCATTTAACCAGCAGTCTTCACTGCAGGGCTTAATGGGAGGTAATCACCAAATATTTGCAGATGCAGCATGGAGAATGCAGAGATAATGTAGCATGGTCTGCATCCACACATAAATGACAACCACTTACTATGACTTAAGTGCAATACATGGGCAGTCAGGCAGTGGAGAGAATGGACTAGGTGTCTACTGAGTACATGCTTCATCTTGCACAGACATGAAGTTGGAATAGATGTAAGGGCTCAAGCCAGGGGCCCAGGAAAACCAGTATCCCGTCTCCAATAATGGCTGATAGCACATACCCACTGAAGGGTGAAAGATCAGGGTAAACCTATGAGTGATAATTCCTCATAATAACCTCCCCATGTTAGTGAACTCTGGTTCTTGAGACAGCGGTGATGTCTCTATATTTAATGTCTTAAATTGTGGGAATGCTCTTTGAACACAAGTAAAAAGGAACTTTCCTGCTACTTAGATTTTTTTTGTCCTTCTCTGTGGTGTGAGGTACTTCCTATGATCCATTTCCTAGGATTATTGGAAGATTTGTTTAATAGATACTCTGCTACTTAAGGAACTTTGAATGTCAATCTGACCTGTGGGTAAATGTTGCAAATCCTGTGATATGTTTAACCTTACGTTTAGGCATGAGAAAGCTACTCCTGAGAGAACTTTCAGAAACAAGCAATGTGAATCTCAGGTTAGGCCTGCAGATTTCCACTTGTCTCTCATACTAGATCATCATAGGATGAGGTGTGCATGTAGCACAGTGCTAGCCCTACTGTACTAAAAGTAAAATGAGAAATAAGACACTGACACAGAAATGGGAATATTAGGAGGAAAGGTATTCAGTGCCAAATATATATAGCTGTTAGTTAGCTTAGTAGGTGATAGTAACATAGAGCAAGTGATAATGACATGTAAACAAACCTGGTCAACAGGCCGGATAACACGTCTGAAAGAAACTTCTACTTCATTCCTTTGAAACTCCTGTTCTATGACAGGATCTCCTCTTTCAATCTAATTTGTCACCAAGAAGAACAATCACATTAGTACAAAGCATCCAGTGAATTTTTTCTCCCTTACAATTAGTAGAACTCACAATGTAACATTCTGGAGGTGCTTGACAAAACACAGACTTCATTTCCTTCTAGGGAGTGATTATTGCAACTCTTGAGCAAGTCAAAGTAAAATAATGTCTTTTTGGGCCTAAATTTCAGTCAGATCCCTGCCCTAATGAAACAGTTTGCTTTGCATAGCCAGAATCAGCCAGAAAGAACAGACAGAACAAACACCATAAGTTAGCACGCGAACAGATCTTCCCTGACAACGGTGCTACAGAAATTCCCTACAGCTTTCCTATGTTCTGTGAATATCTCTGTCATGGGTTCTAATGGTGCCAGCTCTTTAGTCTGTTCATGTGTTAAACAGTTTACTACTGATATCCCTTCACTTCTTTGAGACCCTCTCAAAGTGTTCAGGCATGCTGGATAAATACCAGTGCTTCTTTTCATCATGTCTCTTCCATCCCAGTCCTACTTACCTATTGTTTAATTTCCAGGATGCCATTATGTCTTAAACAAAGACCTAGGGGTTATTTTGCAGAGTGAAATTCCTGTTATTTTCATGGGCTGAGGTTTTAGTTAGTACAGTGGAAGACAGACCAGTTAAAGGTCTCCAGGACAGCCATTCCCAGGCTGTATAACATAGTGGCCACTCAAGGAAATGATGGAGGGATAATAATAACTCTGTGAGGCCTAATGACACTCAAGGTGAACAAACTGATAGCATGAGCAAAATTATGCCTCTGCCATGAAGGCAACTATGAAACCAGCCAGAGCCCCTATGGCCAACAGCTGAGTAAATGAATATTTCTAAACAAAGTTAACATACACCTAATTCAGTGATACAACAATCTCACAATTCAGATGCTCTTTTTACTCACTTCCTCTTTTGTTAGTATTAAATATAATGTTTGAATTAATTCACAATGTTTATTCAGTATATAGATTAAGCTTTTATCTATAAAACATTTTACTCCATAAACAGCTCCGGGATGTCAGATGCTACTTGAATATCCAGGAGGAAGGAGAAGAGGGATAAGCCGTACCAGTCCCTGAGCTCTGTGCCACATGGGGAAAAATATTATCTGCCAGCAAGTATTGCTGCTGTCACCTCCATGGAAGATGACCTGCAGTCTGGGGTGACTGGAAGAAACCAAAGAGAGGAAGGGTAAAGGTGTAGAGCATTCTCTTGAGTAATTATCTCCCCATGGCTCTGCATGAGAGTACTGACGGGGTTTAGCTCTTTCACTGTGAGCCATTCAGGACGTCAGCTCTTCAGAGAGGCACAGTATAAACAGAAGGTTGGATACGGCCATGGTGCTGACAGGATCATGCTGCAATGTTGCACTGTGATGAGGCTGAGTGGCTGGGTGCAAATCTGCTAGGTTGGGCAAATATCTAGTTACATTTCCATTAATAACTTATCCTTTTCTCAGCCTGCCTCCAAGATAAAACCACCTCAGAAAAGTGATACACACGCATAATAAAGATATAACTGCAGGAAGGTTTGCATTAATGCATGAAGAAAAACTGAAGAAATAGATCAATACAATTCACTAGTGCACTGCATAATCTGAAAGTATAACTTTGATTTTAAATTTATAGGAAAAACAGCAAGAACTGACCTTATATTGCTTTTCTTCCCTCTGTCGGTTTTCAATAATCTCTTTTCTAATTTCCACAGAGATTGGATCTTCCCCTTTATGAACTTGCCTGCATTTACAGTGGAGGAAAGAAAAATGCTTTACTGAATGTGCAGTTTGCTTTATTTAAACGTTAACAGACTTATTCTCCTCTTCCTAAGGTGTCTAGGGGTCCAAACATTCAGCATAAGAGCAGATCTACGGCTTGCAATGAAAACACTGCGCTTACACACATGACTGTTTTGCTTTATGCCATTTGGTGTACATGTCCAATTCTGTTCCCTCCATTATACATTTTAGCCTTGATTTATTGACCACCATGACAAAAACTTCCTTTCCTCCTAAGGACACAAGACGAGGTGCATGAGAACAAGGTTAGGTGAACAAGGTTTTCAGCAGGTTTCTTTCTGAATACAACCATAATACAATCAAAGACTTCTTTGGGTACTACTATGGATTACTATTGAGACTGAAAAGATGAAAGTAAAACAGTAACTTAGCTGTAAAACAAACCTATCAGGACATGAAGTAGCAGCATTACGCACTAGTGGATATTGCATACATAATTCATAGAGGCCTTAGTTAAGCAAACCCCAGTGTTGTTAATGGGGTTAATTAACACTTACCACTTCAGATGATTGGCTTCCTCTTCCTGAATATTTTGTTTGACTTTTAGTTCAAATATAGCTTCCTTCATCTGTCTAGTTTTTATTCCTTCACTGCCTTGGCAAAGGGCTGCAGAGATATCAGAAAGCCATATCACACCTCAAACTAGATTGAATTTTTAATTGCAAAATCCACCCATTAAGATAACTGAACTCATTAATACAAAAAGCTAAGGTGAAAATCCTTACGGAAACTACAAGCACATCACCTCAGCAATTCTGAAGCTCATCAGAGTTACTCATTAGAAACCTACACATAATGCTAAGACCAAGTTTATGCTGCTTAATGACATTACCTTCTTTCAAGTCCTTAATCTTCAATTTGCCTGGTTCCTGATTCAAAACAGTAGCTACAGCATATGGATTTGACAAGTCTGTGGGGAATCTGAGGTTCTGGCATTCAATTTCCTATGAGATATAAATTAATAGGAAGAAATAGAAATAAGAAAGATTTTCAGCCCAGAAAAGTACTTGTGATTATTATCTCTTCACACCTTTATTTTTTGAATAGGCCTTGATTGTTGTTGGCTGAATTGGTCTCTTCTCCATACAACAGATTTTCCTGCAGATGCAGATTTTTTTTCTGGATGACTTCGTTGTTTGTCAAAACGTTCTTTTCTAGGTGTCAGAAGGACAGACATTGCTCTTATAAGTACTCTGTAAATGGCATATATGTCTAATACATGCATTTATATCACCTTTAGATATACAAGGAGACTAGAAATTTCTCTCCCAGATTACAACTGGAACCAAACTTTCTAATCTTTAGAGCTCACAAAAAATTATGTACAGCCCAAAATACCCTATTGCTCAAAACCCCCTGTATCTTGCAAGGCTTCAGCAATAAGAATAACACAGAGCAGGCATTACAGAGGCTGAGGATGCTCAACACTATTTTTAAGGATTTGTAACTTCTATTTAGTTTTGCTTTGGCACAGTTTCACTTCATACAGATTAAGGGTGTTCTGAACAAATGGTGTAAGAGAGCAGGTACATCTATTAACAGTCGAATTACATTAGTGCATTTTAAGTCTCCATAGATACAAATGCTTAAAATTACTACAGCAAAATGGCACAGAATACTATTACACAGATATTTTTTAGCACTGGGCAAAAGTCGGCCACACATACATTAGACCCAGATGTGGTGTTGATGTTCCTGTGAATACACATCTATAGGGTTTTGAGTGAAACTGTGAAATCCGTAACTGCATTGCCATTTGTGCTGTTCCATACTGAAGAGGGGAATATTTCACAGTTACTTCCACTTTTCCATTGCCTGGAATGATTCCTGCGATTAGAGGAGAAAACCAGTAAGAGTCCATCTAACGTGAACCCACTTAAGTATGCTGGACTACATTTTTTTAAAACAATGTTTGAATGGATGGCAGTAGGCCTGGAAAATGTTTCAGGTCTCAAAGTGTCTTTCAAGAACTATCTATTGCTAGATAGTGAGAGACACTTCACAACAGCAGAAAGATTTGACAGTAAGACTAGTGTTCTGAAAATAATTGCCTGCTCACATGCAGAAATTCTTCACTTGCATCTGTCAGTCTTAAGTCTCTGGCACTTCCTGATTTCATGACCAAATAATTATAAACATATTCCTCTGTGCTCTTCCAAGTTGTGGGAATCATCTGGATTTGATGCATTACCTGTCTCGACTTGGTCTTACTTCCTTAGCCGCTTATTCCTTTATTTTCTCAACCACATTAACCACTCTTCATATTCCTAAACATTCAGTGCAATCCCAGGATATAGGCCCTGATGTTCCTCAGCATTTCTGCAACAAGGAGTTTATTCAGCTCATCAGAAATATTAATTTCTTATCTCTGTAAAATGATCACTGCCTGGTTTTCTGCATCCTGTAGTTTTAAACACCAGTAGTTTCATCATTTGTTTTGTGTGTTTGTATTTGTCAAGAGTATTTAACCACTACTGATCTCAGCAAAATGGCTTGAGTAGGAGCTGAAACTTCTTAGTGCTTTTCAGATGGCCTTCAGCACCTCAGAGTTTCTAGCTACCAAAGTCTCTGAATTAACTTTTACTGGGTTGATGTTTTTTCCCAGAATATTTTTGTTCCCCTTTCTCCCAAGAACTAAGCCAACTTCGGAAGCATGAATTAGTTCCAGCCACTTTGTCTATGACTGTGCAAAAACCCTAAAAACTTCCTGATGATTTTACAGCTTCTCCCTAGTTTTACTAAATTGTAATATTGTTCCTTTCCTCCTTTGATATATCAAAACTTCTTTAAGCACAAAGTGAAAAAGAATATTATCCTGAAAAAGTGACCCAAAACAAGGCAGCAGCATAGTTCATCTTTGTGGATCACACATCTGATAGAATTCAAGTACTACCTCAGGAGAATGAAAATCCATCTGACAAGACAGGGCAAATTCATACCACTGTACATACAGGAACAACAGCAACTTTTATTGAGGCGTATAAATAATCAAAGTTTAAATTCCAGTGTAATGAATGGCACTAAATGTCAGATTTATGACGGTTTTTATTTATTTAGATCTTTATATATTTTCACAGAATTGACCAGGCTGCCTAAGTGGATTATTCAGCCAGGTCTCATTCACTTACACATTTTTATCAGAACACCTGGCCACTTACATGCTTCTGCAGACACCTGGCAAATGTAACAACAATCACAACTGACCTGCTAATAGTTAGGTCTGCCTCAAGACAGAGCCCTCTCCAACATTAGGCATGAAAACAGCCAAACGTACCAGAGACAAAGGTCCGCGCCTCTTCTGAAGCCTGTACACAGAGGCCTAGACTGAACCTAATATCCACTGCTGTCCCATGAACCATCTGCAGTGATGTGTTTTGTGCCCATCACTGTAATGGCTCCTGAAGCAACAGACACAATTCTACCAAATTCTTCCAGACCACTAGGGAAAAACAGGTAGGGGGGTATGTTTGATAGAGCAGAGTTCACCTTTTATTTCCTCTGTGCTCTCAATCAAGTAACATGATGCACATCTTTCCACAAAGACAGGTATCTGTTCCTTTAATGGGGCAGGAGCCAGACAGTCCTTGGGGAAAGGTGTGATACAGAGGTGAATGCTGGGCTTCCTGCCTCTCTCCTTTCCAAAGGCCATACAGAAAAAGAGAGTAGACAAAGGCCGGATGGACTGTGTGGGATGTCCCATATTTTGCCAGAGGTCTGCAGCTGGGCATTGACAAAAAGAATCTACCAGTCACAGACGGCTATGTGCCATAAGGCTGCATATTACTAATATTTATCAGCCCGCATTTACATGGAAACAGTCTGAGGCACAGGCTTTTTCTGTACAGCACTGAATGCACTGTCACAAGTAACTATGCTTAATAAATACAGATTTAACGTTTAGAATTTTAAATAAGTTTAATCTACCAAATGTTGGCTGGACAGTGAAGGCTCTGTGAGGCTGAATAAAATCAATGTGGAATTCAAAATCTATTGGGCAGCTGCACTGCAACGGGATAACATACTCCTTACTGAAAAGAGAGAAAGGAAGAAAGAAATTAATAAAACTACAGTTGATCATCAATTACAAGCTGGAAAATTATATTATACACAACAAGCACTGAATTTATCTGTGTTCAGAGGGATGGTTTACTTATTAATGTGAAAACAGTCATTCCTTGTTGTTCCAAAATAGCAAAATATTTCAGATCCTTCACTCGGTGAGGAAATGAGAGCTTAATCTGGATTTAAATGCTGGATACACCTTAACTTACTTTCCCCTACTCATACAGAATTTGATTACAGAAAAATTTAAAAAAATTACTTCTTAGAAGTTATGTGTACCCTCACATTCTTACAAACTGCAATATGTAGCAAGTACAAACAATCCAAACTGCTGCAACAATAAGTACAGAACCAGAAATCAGCCTCCTCCTATGGCCCTTCCTGTGGAAAACGATGAGAAAAGATTCTGTACAGTCTTCAAAAGTGTTGAAAACGCCAGCACATCAGAGTGACTGGACTTTAACCACCGTAGAAATAATGATGCTGTGGCCTGATTTTCATAAAAGCCCTTTATGTCTCACACTGGTTGTGTGAGGGATATTAGCACACATCTTTTCAAGCCGTCTTGCTTTTGTACGAATCTATTTTCATGTATCAAATTGAAACACAAAAGGATTGGTGTAACACCATCCATCATCCTACAAATCAAGACCAATTTACCCAGGCTTATTTCTGTTTTTTGTAAACTGTCTGACTGAAATCCTATTCTCCTGATTAGCAAAGAATGCACGTTATACAGAGTGTTGTTTCGAAAAGTACATTTTGAAATGCCTAAGGAAATAAACAATAATAACAAAGTCTTTTTTTATCTGTTTTACTATGTCCTGCTCATGAAGAAGACGTAACAGCAGACTGGGGAGACAATTTGTTTTAAGGCATTGTGCAGCTTCTACAGTAACCAAAGTGCCCTAGAAACAATACAATTATGCCATCTATTGCATTATAGACCTTCTGTATCTAAGGAGAAAGCCGGGTGGCAGAATATAGGACTTCTCCTACTCTTACAGAAGTAAAAGGAAGTGTTTCTCTTGACTTCAGCGGGCTATAGTTTGACTCCATAGTCCCTTGGATTCTGTACCAAGTATCTCAGGGAACTTTCATTCTTAGGAAAATTTTTGATAGTCTAATGATGAAAAATGCCAGTAAAAACTATGGTTTGAAACCATCAGTTTTCTCTTCAAGAACTCTTCAAATTCCCTCAGGGGCATGACTCTGGGCATATCTGTTGTGTTGAAAAATTTTCCCGTTATTTAAATTGTATTTTGTACTCTGTCTAATCTCATCTCTGTATTCTGAGAATATGAAAATTCTGTATACTTCAGCACTTGTTATTAAAAAAACGGGGCAAAGAAATAGAATTGCCTCATGCCTAGAGGCACCCGGAAAGTCAGGAGCTATGTTCAGTCTGTGAGAAAGCTGCAACTTCACTTCTGAGGGATTCACTAGAGTTTAACAGATTAAGGGGCATTAGAAAAACAAATAAACAAAAAGACACAAATGTTCACTCTACAATGCTGGTCTCATTTTTACTGCAGAATTTTGCATTTTCTTTATATGTGCCTTGCCTATTCATATTTCTGTGCTTCGGTAAAAATTCACAATTTACTTCCTACTCATAGGCTAAAACAACACTTAGCTAAGACCTTCAGTTGCTAGAATTCACTCAAATCTTTACACTAACACAAATCACTGTAATTACAATTAATACAGTCAATATACTACAGAACTAGACCCTAATAAACAGGATCTCCCTTCTCCTTTTCCCCTTCTCAGTTTCTTATTAACAATTATTACCAATTACTTCATGAGAACAGCCAGTATTACATCTATGCAACAGCCAGAGTAAGGTGAAATCTATACCATTTGGATCTCCATGTCAGAAGATCACTTTAAATATAAGCAGCAAATCCAACGACTGTTCAATCTCTGGACTGAGATTAGCCATTTGCTCTCACTTACACCTACCATTACCAGCTCATACCTTCATTTCCAGAACCCTTCAACTTGAAAGGAAGATCGATTCACTTAGAACTTATTAATGCTAAAAAGACATAGCACTTGGGAGTGTAAAGATTATGAAAAGCAGCCATATTGCTTCACCATATGATGAAGTGAATCTGCACCAATTTCAGTCTGAAACCCCAGTTCCATCTACGTATATGTTCAGTTTGCACAGCATTTATTTCCCTGTGAATGTGCACTTGAAACAGTTCATACACATAATTATTTTGCAGTCCAGATGATAGCTGACTTCCTTAAAGCTTCCAAGATGTTAAATTGTACAAATAAAGGAAAATGAGATTTTTCCAATTTTGTGCATGTCTCAGAAAATGTGGGTAAATACCTGTCCTCAACTCACCTCTTACCAACTGATACGTCAGACAGATTTATAAATGATGGAAATTCTACAACATTCACAGCAGGATAAGCATGAATAGGAACAAGTAATGTATCTTCTCCCTGCAAAAAAAAAGGTAAATATTTATTTCTTAAAATGAATAAATGTCATGGAAAGGAAAAGTTTCTGTAGTAGTTGGCCAGTAAGTAGGCATAAAACACCTTGAACATCATCACTGTGTTGCACCTCAGGATACTGATATTCTACCTGCTTTCAGCATCCATCTGTCTTTCCATACTTTCAGCAACTCTCTAGAGCTCCTCCAAGCCCACTCAGCTAAGACATTAAATCAGTGTGGCATAAAGACTGATCTACTGGCAAAGAATAACAGAATAAGGAGGATATTCTACCCACAGCTCTGGGATGTTTACAGAGAGAAAAATTTAAAATGCTTACAATTAAATACTTCAATCTGGACTTACTGAGAATAAACCCAGGTGGCTCTAGGAGATTAACTGTACCTTTATCATTACTATCATGTCCTAATAGTTGTTTCATCCATTACAACTGTAAACATATTTTATAACAAATCCTCACCTCACAGTGAATTCGGATGCAGTCATAGTAATACCGCCACTCATCAGGACAAAAATCAACAGTAACATCATATGACAAGCCAGGGACAAGCCGGTGCTAGAAAATGACCCAAAATAAGACAGAACATATGTAAAAGATGCTTATATGGCACAAAACCAGTGCTGCATGCAAAGAGCAGTGTGAAGGCTTTCTGACACTTACTGTTTTGTTGTACTTGATCTGAAAATACTTTGTCTGAGGTGGTATTATGTGAAGGTTTGTTACATCGCCAGAAATATTTGTCAGCTTCTGCAGAACAAAAGAAAATCAAAACTGCAAAACACGTTACAATATAAGAGGTCAATTGAGAATGCAAACTACACTTTTTGTGAGACTATCCACAGCAAAGAAGCTGTATTAAACGAGGAAGTAATAACTTTTATTTTAGCAGAAATAGTTTTGAATATGCTCTGAATTTAAAAGAAAATCATGTAAACCTTGCATCCTGCATTTTATTCTTTGGGACCAAGTCACAATTCCTTACCTAGGAATAACAGCTCGTCTTGCTAAATAAGACACTACTGTTGAAGCAAATTCTGGTCCTGTTTTGCTATGGGCAAAAGAAACAAAAAAATGAAACAACCTATTGACTTTGCTTTTACAGAGTTCTGAAACAACAGAAATGTTGTCAAATTCCATGGTTTTGTTTTGGATCACAAAGTAACAAACCTTTGTATGGTGACAGTTCTGCCTAAAAAGTCTCCTGCCTCTTGCTTACTTTCACTATATCTGGAGAACCTAGTCCACCATAATCACCCATCCTCTGCCTCAAAACACTTACCACATGAATAAAGGTAGCAGACAAAGGGAAAGCAGAGAGAAGAAAAGGAAATAACCAAGCTATTCATAAGGAAAAGTAATCAAACCTATTCACTGAGTTTCTTTTCTTAGATTAAATTGCTCTTGGCAGAAGGCCAGAGGTGCTTTCAATGTTTTCCCACCAGTGAACATGTTTGCAGACATAGTGATGGTCCAAGTACATTTTGATCACGGTCTCCTATGGAGTTCAAGCATGAGTCCTTCATTCATGACGTGCAACTCACCCATCACTAACACTGCTCACAGACATGGGAAACAGAAAAGTAAAACAGAGACTGTAAAGGACAGTGATGCACACAGCATGGTACTTGTCTGTTTCGTTACCGCAGGGCCACTGATTTTAAGTGCAGCTTTTTAGAGCACTCCATAGAGCAAAAGGCCTCACAACCACAAGCAGTCTACTCAGCTTCTGTTATCCTTTTATAAACCCCAAGAGGATCCCTGCTCTGATACTTACCAGCATCTGTTGGTGATGTTTTCCAACTTCATACCCTCCATAGTGTAACAGAGCAGGCTCAGCCTGTATAACCTTGCTCCTATGAAGTTCTGAGTAAATCTCTACAGAGACAGAGAATAAAACAGGAAGAAAAAGAGGTCAGATGAAACACACATGATTGTTACTTACATTGATTAAGTATATTTATGTTGCACTCAATGTTTTATAGAGAAAAAAAAGAGACAGATTATTTCTCCTGTTAAACAGGCATGACTCTTTAAATGGAAAGTTAAGGCAGCATCTACTACCCTACCAGAGCCATGATCTTGTCACTGGTTTATCTCTTCACATTATGGCTTTAACAGGCCACCCCAAAACTTTAAAGTCAGCCAGGATCAGTACAGACACTACTTATTTCCTGACTATTTATTTCCTGAAATATAATAGCGAAGTGCCTCATAGGATTGTTCCAAGGCTGAGGAACAGTCAGAGAGCAGAAACTTACTTGATTCTAGCAGGTGATTTGGGACAGCACGTCTTTTTTTAGGTTCCTCCACTAGACTATCCAGGACACTGGGTATTTTCTGGAGGGATTTCTTAGCAATCATGATTTCTGTGGAGGCTGATTGAACCATGTCCATGTTAGGACAGAGATGGAGCCCGAATAGTACTAAAATTCCTCAGCACCTGGGGGTGAATCAAAATAACATAATGATCAAAACATCTTCTCTTGCACTGGTAACAGCTGTTGCCTAAAACTGGCAAAAAAACATTTAGGAGAGGGAGTTACTTTTTTCCCTACTGAAGCAGGTTACTCTGTGTGTGCTAAGTACAGGGACAGAGTGATTCCAGGAAACCTTGCTATCACTGCAAGCCCTAGCACTTTGGGAAGGTTCCTCTGTTCTAGGGCTTACTGGGGATATTTGGCTTACAGAACTGTGTGAAACATCTCTCTTCCTTCGCATCTCCCAGCACAGTGAAGGAGAGAAGGTTCTTCTGATAATTCCACTATCCAAACTGATTTCTGCAAAGATGTTCTTCCAGTCTCTCCTGAGTGTCTCAGTTGTTAACTTGCAGATTCATTTTTAGTTTTTAAACATTAATATGAGGGATAAGAAAATTGGCATTTGAATCTTTTGTTTGGATAGCATCATCTGGGTTATTTGTTTAGTGAAGATAACTGTAAACCCAGAAGGCCATGGGTATTATAGATCCTGTGTTAAGTAAGCACAGTTATCAGAACATAAACTTCTCTAATGACAAGTGCAAATATTACACAATGACACCAGACACAATCCATCCACGAGAAATTATCTTCATAAATATAACACATAGCTCTCCTGTGAACCGGAGAACTGCATGGAAAAAAAGACAAGATACTTTTGGAAAAAGTACTGAGTTCAAAAGCCATGCTGGGTTTTTCAGCCCTCAAGAATGGGACTGAAAACCCTTCATTTTGTATTTGTTCATGAACGGGAAGGTGGGTGCGCAGCTCAGGATGGTGCCACAGTATCAATGTTGAACTCACCCAATGCTAGGCAACATAAACTTCTGCCAGGCTCCAGTCATGAGGCACCTTCCTGCACCTGTGCCACTTTGAGCAGTGGCACAAAGGCTGATCAGCTGCTTGGACAACAGTTTGGCTGCACAATCCACACTATGGCAGCTCCTTAAGATTCAACAGTTCCAAAGTTAAATATTTAGCACCAGGGGCAGTATTCTGTTTCTTTTGTTGTTTTAACACTCTCAAACTGGCTTGAATGACCTTAAAGGGCTCCAATCTAAAATTAACACTGATCAATGAAAGTCTGAGGGAAGAAGGGCATCAAAAAGATGCCCAACGTATCTGTATCAGCACTTTTGAGGACTGAAGAGGTCCACACCCCCATTATATTTTATGGTCTCATCTCTGGTATTTGTTTGGTTTTGTAGTCTGCTTTCGATCTCTCAGGCAGAAGTTGAGAGGTGCTTCAAGCTCATAAAGTGCTGTTTTGATTTACGGCCTTGTGCAGTGTTAAATAATAAATAAGCAAGAAGCTTAAACTAATGTACTACCAGTACCCTGGCCTCAATAATATTTTCCACTCCACAACTCCAAGTACAGATTTTCCACTTGCAACAGAAAATCTGTAAGAAGAACTGTATTATTGTGCACAACAGTAAATTTCTTCTGAGGTAGTGAGACCAACCAAGCTCACAAAAACATGCTAAAAAAATTCTAAACATAAGGCTTACATTCTTTCCACTTGTGTTGTTCAACTTTAATTTATACAACTGCCATCCTCCTCCTGGTCAGCATTGCCCATCAGGAATACAAGTTTTGAAAAGCAGTAGGCAGACTTATGTTAGCAAAGGATTCCCAGTGTAATCTTATCAGTAATTTAAAGTGACACTACCATCATCACTCACCAACTTTAATAACACACTGCAGTATTCCTCAAAGGGCTAATACAGGGAGGATGTTTACGTGCCAAGGTCTTGGAACTGATAGATTCATGTTCTTAAGTCTTCCAGGGTACCTGTGTCTATCCTTAATGTGACTATTTTTGTGTGCAAAGCCACCAACAGGAGGACTCTGTGTCTGTGACATCCTGGTTCCCTTGGAGGCAATGGCAAAACTCACCCCAACTCCCCTCAGGCCACGGTATCACCCTTCTTCTCTCAGTACTTGGGCTTTCTAATCCCTTTGAGCCTCACAGAGCTCCCAGCACGCCCCTCGCCACCAGAAAGGGATGCAGTTTAAAGCCATTACGTACTGTGTGAGACTTGCGAAAGCACCATCGTGCTTCAGGAACAACAGAAAACTTGTTTTTAATGTCCACTCTACATAATTAAGCTAGCAGAGTTTCTTAGCGGGCAGAAGGGCTCACAACACGTACTCCTGCCGGTGCAGCAACCTTCTCACGCCCAGCCCGGTCGGAGGGGGGCCGGTCGTCTCGCCCCAACCCCCCTCTGCGCCCCTGAGAGCGACTTGCCACAAGACGAGACAACAACCCCCTCTGCCCCACGCGTCCTCCCGACCCACAGGGAGCCCCTGCAAACCCCCACTCCTCCCCTCACAGGGCTCCGGGCGGCTCGGCGGGCCCCCCCCGCCCCCCGGGCAGGCCACGGCAGTTGCGAGGCAACGGAGCAACTCAGCTGGGCCGCACTACTCGCGGCGGGGGCGGGGGCGGAGATTCCCTCAGCTGCCGTTCAGGTGGCTCTGACGGCAAAAGTACAAAACAGAAAAAACAAACCCACCTTTTTTTTCCTTCTAGTAAGCGTTGTTTTCACTGCAGAAGCGCTTTTTTCTTTAAAAACACTCGTCTGTTAACACTGAAATGGTTCTTCTCGATAAGGCTCAAATACAGGTTCTTCTCTAAGGTGAGGGACGATCCACTGAGGGACTGTGCAGTATTCGTCAGGGCCTGCATTGGCTTAAAACAGACTTTGAAAGTTTTATTACAGTTTGGTTTTTTTTAAAGAACATATCTTTTTTTCCCCCCACTACCTGTATATTCTCATTTTTCAGTATTAAACAGCAATCCCTTGAAACATAATCCTGAAAACATTGTGTTTTGATTTTACCACCCATAAATTATCTTACTTTTACCTGCATGTGTACAGAGGAGAAAGGAAAGCACAAGTTTCTTTTTTTCTTCTTTTCCTTCAGACAGGTGATCTGAACAGATTGATGAGACGGAGAAAAGGTAAATTAAACACAACAGCATTGCTGGCTTGGGTAGACACCACCTATTTTGCTGATGATACCCTGGCATCCCTTAGAAGTGTTGTCCCAAACCTGTACCCCTCCAGACCTCCAACAGAGTCAGTAAAGGATCCAAAAAGAAAGATTAACATTGAACAATTTGCACTGTTATCCTACACTAAGTCACATAAAATTTATTTAATTTTAGAGTATTGGCTGCCCCAGCTCCTTCTGCCATGCGTAGAAGTATGTTTGTTGTCGGCATGAATGTGAATTTGGGACAAACTGTGTTCCTAGCCCTGCTTTTTTTTCATTACATTTTAAATATAAGCTTAATATAGAAAGCCAGAAATACTTCCAGAACTTTTTTTCCCCTTATATATTCTAATAATAAAGTTCTTCTCTTTCAGCATTTCTAACATAGAGATAAAATGCGACCAAAAGTAGTGCAACGCTCAGTTTGAGTAAAAAAGGAAGGAAGAAAAACTTCAGATCATAAAATTCAGCTCAGAGAATGTAGTTCCTATATTTAGTAAAACGTAATTGCTGTTGATTAGGAAAGAATGATGCCTACACCCTTGACGAATCTGGGGAGAGTTGCCCAGTGATGACAGCATTCAAGCTGGGTTTAGGAGAAAGTTCAGGATCAGCTTCTACACCATCTTTGTTGAACTCTGGCAGCTCACTACCCCACCATCTCATAGCATGTTTTCTATTGGAGCTGGTCCCTACCTCACCTTTTTTTTGTTCCTGTGTCTCTCTAAAGGTGTGTAACCTCTCAGAGTGGTACCTAAAACACCTCCTGCCTGCCAAGTCTCCTGTCTCAGCCTTCCTTTCCTGGGTTCACTCACCTCTTCCTCATTGCTCCAATTGCACAGCTGTCTGCCTTTGGTGGAGCTTTGACCATTTCAAACATCAGTGGAGAAAGCAAGCTGGTGCTTTTTTAAACTATCCATTCACCTCAGCTGAGTAAACAGGCTAAGGCAGACAGTTTATTCTCCACCTGACAAGCTTGGGAGACGGTTGAAATTATTTTCTCTGGCCAAATGGATTTGCTGGAGAGCCTTCACAGGGGACTGGGCTGCCTGAATAGGCTCCCCAGGGCAAGGGGACACGTCTCTGCTACATTTTTTGCGTGGCACACTTTGGCACTGAAAACGGACTTTCCAGCTCCAGAGCTTCACAGTGTCCCATGCTAAATGTGTTTAGGTCTAAAGGTTTGCTGGGTTTTTGTTCCTGTTTCCAAGAAAAAGGCTGTGGGAACATAGTATAGCAAATAGCATGTTAATGTATTTTCCTCCCACAGAAACACAATTCGTGTGTACATCTGTCTGTTTGGACAGTGATAGGTGAGTGTAAACCAGAATCCATTTCCGCTTCCACGGCAAAGGAGCTAAGTATGAGGCATCTCTGGAAAAGCTCTCTGTAAGGTTTTCCTAAGAGGTAGCAAATCAGTGGAAAAGGTAGGTGAAAAGAGTGGATTAACAGCCAAAAAATCTGCAGATTTCCTTGGAAATGCTAGTATAAATAAAGATTGTGTAATAGGATTTAAATAGGTGATTCCCACCTCAATTTAATCTCTACAGTCCAAATATCAGCTGACAAATGCATTTTCTGCACGTCAAGCTGCAATAGAGGCATTGCAAACAATTTAATTATTTAGCAAAGGAGGGAGAAAAATGAATTATTAGACTGAAACACTAATGGAAATTTTAAGTATTAATAAATAAATATTTAACATCAAAGTTGGTTAGTATTTGATAAGTAAACAATCCTGCAGTCAGAGACATACAAAGCAAAGTAACTTCTTTTATTTACTCCTAAAGTTACAATTAAAATGTCTTTCAAGATTGTATGAACAAATTCTGAAGTTTAATTTCTGGTTTAGATCACAGACTTGAAATAAATTCCAGCTGTGACAACTTTAAAATGGATATACTGAGTAGGAATAAA